AGCTGTCAACGAGGAGAAGGAAGAATTGCCCCTGAAAGGGCTCAGTGTAGTCGATATGAACCCTCGACCAATGGGCGTGTGTCTCCTCCCACCTATGTACAGGAGCCTGAGGCATTTCAGGCCTTGACTGTTGGCACACTTGGCATCCATGAACCTGGGTCTCAATCTCTTTATCGAGCCCAGGCCACCAGAGATGGCTGCGCGCAAGCATTTTCATCCGGACTATTCCCGGATGTCCCTCATGCAGAGAAAGCAACACTCTAGTCCTCAATGAGGCTGGGATCACTACCCTGCTATCCCATAGCAGACAACCCTTGAAAGTGGAAAGCTCATGCTTCCTTTGCCAGAAACTCTAGAATTCTGCACCAGGACATGTGTCAGGCCATCCTGACAACACCCATGTCAGCACACGTGTGAGCGTGTGATCAGTAGTGGTTTCTGCAGCCACATCCCTAGCATTGAGGGGAGATTCAGGCAATTCCTGAATGGAGAGAATGTGAAGAGCAGGAGCAGGATCTGCCTCTATCTGCTGTAGAGGTAATCTGCTGAGGCCATCTGCATGGCCCATTTCTTTGCCTGGTTTGTGAACCAGAGTGTAGTCGTATGCTGACATGAAAATTGACCATCTCAGCATTCTAGGAGAGATTATGTGTGGGGTTTGTTTGTTTGTTGTAAACAAACCCAGCAGAGGCTTATGGTCTGTGTAGACCGTGAAGTGGCAGCCATATAAAAAGTCATGGAATTTCTTTATGCCCGCCACTATGGCCAAGGCTTCTCTGTCAATCTGAGCATAATTATGCTCTGCAGAAGACAGAGTCCTGGAATAGTAGGCCACAGGGACTTGTGTCCCATCAGCCTTCAGGTGACTGAGCACTGCCCCAGCCCCATAAGGGGATGCATCACAGGCGATGCACACAGGCAATTGCTCATTTTAATGTGCTAAAACCGCATTTGAAGAGAGCAAGACCTTGACCTCTGTGAAGCTCCTTTCATGGACCCTTGTTCACTGCCATGGAGCCTGTTTGTCCAAGAGCCGGTGTAATGGCTCAGCCATTGCAGCCTTGTGAGGGAGAAATGAATGATAGAAGTTTGACAGTCCCAGAAAAGCCTGAAGTTCACTTTTGGACTTGGGACTTGGGGCCTGCTGAATTGCTTGGATTCAGCAGGATGGATGCCTTCAGCATCAATACGGAATCCCAAAAATTCAGTGGATGTAACTCCAATTTTACATTTATCTTGCTTCAGCTTCAGCCCCACTTGGCGGAAACGAAGCAAGACAGCCCTTAGCCTTTTGGCCAGATTCAAAGATGACTCCCCAGCAATGAGGACGCCATCGAAGTAGGAACAGACCCCAGGAATACCACAGAGCATTCGCTCCATCATACTTTGGAAGATGCCAGGGGCCACGTTAACCCCAAACTGCAGCCTTTTTACTTTAAAGACTCCCTGCTGCGTCACAATTGTTTGGGCCTCAGCCGTTGCCTCATCAACAGGTAACTATTGGTAGGCCTGTGCCAAATCAAGCTTTGCAAAGATTCACCCCCCTTTGAGGGAGGCCAGAATGTGGCTCATCACAGGCACCGGATACCCATGCTGTTGCAAGGCTTTGTTAAGTGTGCATTTATAGTCCGCACAAATTCAGACTTCTCCATTTGTCTTCAGAGGTGTGACTATGGGGGTTTCCCATGGACTACTGTCCACAGGCTCTAAGATTCCCTGCTGGAGCAGCTTATCCAGCTCTGCATCAATTTTGTTTTTCAGTGCAAAAGGCACCCTTCGAGGCTTAATCCGTATGGGTGTGATGGCTGGGTCTAAGCGTAGAGCAATGGGAGGCCCCTTGTACAAGCCAAGCTCTGTACTGAACACATCAGCAAACTCCTTGCAAACTTCTGCAAGGCCTGACGTTTACAGACTGTGGAGTCCAGTCACTTGAATCCCAAGGGCCTCGAACCAATCGAGTCCAATAAGACTTGTGCAATCACCCCAAACTACCACCATATCTAGCAGCCCTCCAAAACTCCTACACTGCACTTTGAGCATGGCCTCCCCCTTCACGTTGACTCTGAAATTCTGGAAGTCAGTAAGGATTAAATTGGATGGCCTGAGTTTAACTCGAAGGCCACTTCTGCTGCAGATCCTTTTAAAGGTGTCATAAGAAATGATTGATAGAGCGGACCCTGTGTCCAACTCCATCTACAAGGGAACCCCTTTCAATTTCACTTCAATGTGAAGCTTCTTCCTAAGCAGCCTGTGAGCCCCTGTCTAGAAAATGCTCCTGTGCAACGTGCAGAAATCCACCCTGTGTTGGCTGGGGACCCTGGTACCTTTCTGAAGCAATTCTTCCGAAGGCCTGTCCTGGCGACCCAAACAGACGGAGGCAATGTGGCCTTGCCTGCCACATACCCAGCAAATGACGGAGCGGAAGTGGCAGTCGGAGCACTTGTGGCATCCTCCACATCCGAAACACTGAGGGAATGTAGTTGCCTTGTCAAGACGCGCCTTTGGCCTCCTCTCCGCTGGCTGCTGCAACCAGTCAACCTCCATCTCTGGATCCTGTTCAGGAACTTCTTGAGCGACCTCATGATGGACGGAGACTGAAGTTGGAGGATTTCTAGTGAGCCGCAAGGCCTTCTTCAGCTGCAATCTCTCTCAAGGCATCTTGAAACGAGACATCTTCTTTGGCGAAGATCTTCTGCTGCAGCTCCCTGCTTCTCAGGCCACAAACTAAATGATCTTGAAGCCTCTCTTCCAGGTCCTTGAATTCACAGGGCCTAGCTGCTTGTCAGAGCACAGCAATAAAGTCCGCAGCAGACTCACCAGGCTTCTGGTCCCTCTGCTCAAATGTGTGTCGCCATGCAATCACTGAGAGCTTGGGTTTGAAGTGTTCTCGCAGCATCTTCTTCAATTCAGCATAGGCAACTGACTCAAGAGGTGCTGGGGTGACCAGATTCTCCGCTATATCAAAAGTCTCTTGCCCACAGACACACAGCAACATAGCAGCTTTGAGGCCATCTTCTCAGATCTGGTTTACCTGAAAGTAGTTCTCCACCCGGGCCACGTAAGAGCTCCAGCGTTCTGGATGAGCTGTGTCAAACTCAGACAGACGGCCAAGCTTGGACATTGTTACAGCCTGGAGCTTCGTCAACGCCTCCCGCTGCAAGCCTCTGAGAAGAGGTCCCCTTTGCCAAGCTCACCTCCAGCGTTCTCGTACTGGCAGGCAGAGTCGCAGTCTCCGGACGCCGAACTTCCCAGCGCTTCAGGACTTCTGTGGTGAGTCCCTAGCTTCTTCTGTTGTCTGTCTTGCAGCGGATCCCACCTTCGTCGCCAATGTTCTGTTTGCGAGTCAAAGGCATTAAGATGAAGGAGTAACAAAAGAAATCTTCTTTATTCAATTTTACCAACATAACAGAAAACAAAATGGCGCAGGGCCTTTTATACTCCCCTTGCAGGGACAGCATCAGCCAATCAATGCAAGGCTAATCTCCCGCCTTGCACATGCGCACAAGGCTGGAGACAGCCTGTCTGGTCCTGGGCAACCACGTGGTCTGCCCGGGCCTTCTGCAGCTTTCTGAGCCTGCTGAGTCATTCAGCAGGCCCAGGACATAACAAATACTATTCAGGAAAATTTAATGTTCATTCTAACCACATCAGAGTGCCCTACCTTTCTCTCAAAGGGTGACCAAATGGGTCACAGGCAGTTTAGTTTTTAATATAATACAATTTCACCAAGTTTGTCATTGAAACTAAAATATATTTGCCCCAAATAACCAATTTTCTTAGTTACTACTCATCTTTTCCTTTCTAATATCTTCTAATCTAAAGGGAAAATTCTGATTAATTTCTGCTATCTTCTCATAATCTTTATTCAGGTTTTGATACCTATATTTTTCTTATAAAAATGCCTATTTAGTATTTATTTATTAGAGCAATACTCACTAATTAGAGCAATACTCACTTAATAATAATAATATTTTATTTTGCGGTCACAGACCAAAATGCAAGAGCAACAAAAGAAAACACAAGAAAAATATAATCACAAACAATTAAGCACCAGAAGCCTTGGCTAAAGGGAATTACAATGTTCTCCTCTAATAGTTACAGCTCTTAAAAGAAATTTAGAAACCTGATAAGTAATATAGGAGGAGCCATCCCCTAGACAATATAAAACCAAATTACTAACATTAGAACCAGAGGGATCAATTCCAAGGAGAGACAATAATTTAATTCTGCCTGTGTTATACATAGGGCAGTATGATAAGACATGCTCCACAGTTTCAACTTCGACCCTATCACAGGGGCATAGTCGCTCAATAAACGGGAGCCTCTTAAATCGCCCATCGAGTAGTGCTGAGGGCAAGACATTGAAACGGGCCAGGGAAAAGACTCTTCTATACTTGGGAATGGTTAGAGTATAGAAATATGAAGCCATCCTCAATCCATAATTATTAGAATGGCTGAGGATCAAAGGGGAGCAGGTTTTGTTGGCTCTGGCTCTTAAATATTGCAAATCTATGTCCACAAGCCGTTGGACTACCCTAAACTGGGCATCCTTGAGACCATAATCTCCCGCAATACTCACTTATTGTTAGCAAGAAATGATAGATATTCTTTGTTTGGGCAACATGCTTAATTTTAAAAAGCCAGATTTAGATTAAAAAGTTGGGTGTGACAACAGTAAGGTGTGAAAATATGTATTGATGTGCTGGTGGGCTTGGGACCCCGATGGGGCATGTTATGCTGGAGGTGGTGGGTTGAGTGAGAGATAAATCATATCATCCATACTCTTGGTTCTTAAGCTTTATTTAATATTGTGTTTTGTTATTTTAATGCTTTTATATTTATGCTTTTATACCACTGTAAACCACCCAGAGTCACTGGTAATGCAGGAGCAATATAAATTTAACAAACAAGCAAATATTGTATGTGCTGAATATGTTATTTAATGCCTTTTCTGTGTTAATGCAAATAATCTGGGAAAATAACTGGATATTTCTGTTCAGGTGAAACGCCTAATGTCCTTCAGGAAGCAACAGTAAAACTCATAGACTCCAAAGTTTGCAATAGAAAGGAAGTGTACAATGGGGCAATAAAACCTGGAATGATATGTGCTGGATATCTTGAAGGAGGAATTGATTCGTGCCAGGTATGATTATATCTTATCTCAACTAGTGGCCTAAAAAAGAATCAGCATTCATCCAGTTTAGAGATTTAATTGCTATTTGCGGAATACTAATTATCTTGAATCTATCAAAATTAATCTTATCTTTTAGTCTTTTTAAAAAAAATCATTTTGATCTATTGAGCAATATTTAATTAGATATGAGATTGCGTGACTCAAGAATGGGTCTGGGCAATTTATACTTAAAAAAACAGAAAACAATAAAAAGAAAATCCTATGTTAGAGATAAACATCCTACTTCAAGGCCTGGGAAAAAGACTAAATTTATAATGATGTCTGGAACAACATCATCAGACCGTCTCTTGTTACCTGGCTTGTTGATGGATGGCGCGTGGCAGCACAATTGTCGGCCCCATAGTCATCCCACCGGACAGCTGAGCGGCTCATTTCCACGTCGCCGAACAGCTGTTTGGTGCAGGGAAGCGGCAGGGAGCCGAAGAACTGGCAGCGCAGTCCAATGTGCAGCCAGATGATGCAGGGATGCTCATGGAACTGGGGCTGCAGCGCATCCTGCCTGGCTGACTTTGAAACCGCACCTACCGGATGCTGGTTAGGTGGGAGGGGAGTGGGACCGGCTGAGGGGTGTGTAATATAAGGCGCTGGGAGGCGGTTGCTCCCAGCGCTGACTTTGATAGTTGTTTACTTGCCTAAACGCATGCCAGATATTCCTTGATTAAATCCAGCCACCTGTGAACTCATCAACTCGTGTCTTTTTGCCAGGGGTATGGCAAGGATTTCTGACAGCATATGGATCTCTGGGGAGATACCACTCCAGACAACAGTGCCATAATAAAGAATGATCAAGAAATAATGCTTTGGTCTCAATATGCGACATTATTTGATCAAGGGAATCTGAAGCACATTGATCCTGCATAGTCATACATATAGACAAAAACCAGGGGAGAATGGCAATTCTGCAAATAACCTGGTCCTATGCCAATAAAGGGTTTTATAGGTAGTTATCAGGATTTTGAATTGCACCCAGACGTTTACTGGCAATTAAGGTAGCTTGTGGATCAGGGTTGTTATAAGGCAATACTCAGGGTGGAATGAGACAACTTGGCACAGCCAGCTTGGCGGGCTGAGGGGCCGGGGAGGAAAGCCCACGTTTTATGCTAATTGGAGAATGTGATTTATGACAGCTCTTGTGGGGTGGGAATTGCAATCTGTTACTTTGTATCTGGGAGGATGGAATCTCATTCTTGGGTTCAACTATGTAAATGCCGATACTTTGTTTCCTAAATAAAATGTTCTTTAAGGAAGAATTCTTGCCTTGAAGTTCTTTTACTGGTTTCATCTATCGGAACCATGACATTAACCCAAGAATCCTATCTACTCTAACATCCTGAGCTCCAGTCACCTTCCCAAATCAGGGGAGGTAGACAAAGATTCTGGGAAGATTCAGCATGGAGAAAAAAGATGCACCGACAACCAGCATCACGGCAGCTGCCTCAGCGGAGGGAGCGCAAGCCCTTCCATCATTGGAGAAAGTGAATTCAGAACCTCTGACAGTGGGATCGAGACCCAAAACGCAGGAGCTATTGTGGTCCTCAGAGTGGACCCTGCCCAGTGGAGACCTTAAGCATCCCAAGGCAGTCCAATCAAGGAAGAGTTCTTCAAGAATAGCTGAGTCAGAGTTGCAAACGGGTGCCTCACGGGAATCACACTCCCCCGAACGGAAAAGAACAAAAAGGTTGGTGGTGGCAGAAGATTTGGATCAGTGGAAGTACCTGTTTGCAGTCTGTAGCCAATCGGTGGAGAAGTTGGTGGAGACATTTGAGGGGCTAGATGTGGGAAGCGAGGGACAGATTACCCGCTCCTTGCCCATTAGTGAACATGATGACCGGTGAGATCAGCACCAATCTATGCCCAGAAGAAGCCTTAGCCCCAGTGACGGAGCTTGGGTGGCTACTCCATGCTCAGAGTCACCAGCATCGACCTCAAGCCCAGTGGGGAGGAAGAGCCTGACTGTCAGTCATGGGGCGACAGTCCAGGCCATCATCGAGTGTCAAGGAGGCCAGAACGCCACTCACAACGTGACAGCCTTGGCTATCGGAGAAGCCCTGATTGGCGTCGTTCGTCACGGTCTCTTGACAGGCATCACCGCCGCAAAAGCTCCAGATGGCAGAATCATTACGACAGTCCCAAGAGACGCCCATGCTACCGAAGCCCAGACCTTCACCGATACCATCGGAGCCCTGATCACTATTGGTACCGTGAGAGCACTGAACGTTACTACCATCGGTCGCTTAGCCCTGATTATCACCACCATCATCACCCGAGCCAGGGACCTGCACTTAGAGCTGACCTAAATGTAGAGGTTCAATGCGACTTGGTTCAACAGCTGGGGTGATTGTGCAATCTGTTGCATGACAGCAACCACCAGGCACATAGCAGCCACTGGGGGGCCAGCAGCAGTTAGACGTGCAACCACAGCTGGGAGGACAACAGCAATTAGGCGGGCAGCAACCCATAATGGCACCACCTTTTAAGGCCACTTTTGATGGTGATCCAGAGAAGTTGGTTTTCTTCCTCAATCAAGTGCGTTCCCATATGAACCGAAATGCCAATTTTTACCCCGACCCCACAGCCAATTTAGAGAGGGAAGCATCTGAGTGGCTAAATAACTTGTACAATGAACAAGCACCTGAACTAGGGAACCTCCATCTCTTCATCTGAGGTTTGAGAGCCAGATTCAAGGACGAGTCCATAGCTGTCAAAGCCGAAAAATACATTCACGAAGTAAAGCAAGCCAGCAGGCCTGCATTGGAATATGTGCAAGAATTTTGGAGGGTAGCAGGTCAGATTGAGAGGTAGCCAGAGCACTTCCTGGTACATCACTTCAAAGAGGGACTAGATGAGCATCTATCCCAGGCCTGTATCGGGGAGTTCCTGATCAACTACAAGAGTGGTACCAAATGGCAGTGAAGCTAGACATCGAGCTTGCACGCTATAAGAAGCCAACTCTTCCAGAAACTGAGCCAAAGCCGGAACAAACTAGATGGCTACCACCGTGGAGAACCCCAGCAACCATAGCTATGGAATCTCCTAAGCCACTTACGGGCCCGCTGATCAAGTCCTTCAGATGTGGCCAACAGGGACATCGAGCGGCGAATTGTCCGATCCCATATCCCCAGCAGAAAGGTAAATCAGGACTGCTGGAGAGGAAGAAACCCACCCAGCTGCCAACAAAAGAAAAGTCAAGCAGGGTCACACAACAACCTGTCACCCAGATCACATCGCCTACGCAGGAGATAGCTGAGACTCCAGATGGAACAACCCCCACTCTGGCCTCCTACGACAGTGACAAGGGAGAAAATGACCCTATGGTGAGTCGGCCCATCCCACCTTTTGCCCTCGCTGTCAAGCTCATAGTTCCCAAGACAGGGGTACAAATGGACTTGTAGATACTATGTGGACTATCAACAAACGAACTGGACTGACCTCCTCCCTTTTGCTGAGGTGGCTTACAACAACATTGTTCATAGCAGCACTGGTTTTACGCCTTTTAAGATCGCTATGGGGAAGGAATTCAACCCAATATCTGAGTATCCTCAAGGACCCTCTACCTCCCAGACTCTTGACCAATGGCTGGCAGGGTGGGGGGGAAGTATGGGACAAAACAAAAATCGCGCTGAAGAAAGCCTTGGAGACCTATAAAAAAACAAGCTGATAAGAAAAGGGCTTCCCAGAGATTGTTCCATGTTGGGGAAAAAGTTTACTTATCCACAAAATATCTGCGACTCAAATTGCCTAGTAAGAAATTAGGACCAAAATACCTAGGTCCTTTCCCCATTATCAGAATCATAAACCCAGTTACAGTGGAGTTGAAACTCCCACGACTCCTAGGAAAAATTCACCCTGTTTTTCATTGTAGTTTATTAAAGCCTTTCCAGGGGTTCACTTTACAACCTCCTCCCAAGAAAGCACCTGGTCCCCTAGTGGTAGCTGGACAAACACATTACGAAGTAAAACGTATACTTGATTCTAGAATTTTTAAGGGAAAGTTACAGTATTTAGTACAGTGGAAGGGATACCCATTATCAGATGCCACTTGGGTGAAATCCGATGATGTGAAAGCTCATAGGCTCATCTGTAAATTCTATGACCAACACCCCAATAAGCCAAGGGGCAACCTATGCTTCTGTCTAAATTGCAGGATTACACTTTTTTGTTAAGGGGGGGGGCAGATGTCAACGCTGTGACAATGGATGTTGTCGCTCTGACAATTGAGAACCAGCAGCCATTTTTAGTTTTGCTTTTAATGTGCCTTTTTATTCTTTTAGAGTTCAGATGTAGAAGAGGGGCTGGGGTAAATGCCTGAGGATTTTGTTAGCCTACAAATTTTGTTAGCCATAACAATATAGAAGTGTGGAAACTCAAGGACATGTTCTGATAAGGTTTTGGCGTGCTGAGGGGCCGGGGAGGAAAGCCCGCGTTTTGTGCTAATTGGGGAACATGATTTATGACAGCTCTTGTGGGGTGGGATTTGCAATTTGTTACTTTGTATCTGGGAGGAGGGAATCTCATTCTTGGGTTCAACTATGTAAGTGCCGATACTTTGTTTCCTAAATAAAATCTTCTTTAAGGAAGAATTCTTGCCTTGAAGTTCTTTTACTGGTTTCATCTATCGGAACCATGACATATGTGAGGAATAAAAATTCAACTCCAAGGGTGTTGGAAAACAAAACAAGTTTTATTAAAGCTTTTGCAAATGGCAAATCCCAGAGTCCACACCTGAATCATTTTTTGCATAGGTTTTTATACCATCCCATGCATCACGCCACATCCTTCCAAAGTGAGCCCAGTTGATAGGCCCACCCGATAACATGTTTTCTGATCTCCTAACAACCATTACAATTACCAAACCCTCCAATTATTAGATCAAAAGCCCCTTTTGTTCCTATTTTATCTTCATTCCCTTTTCTATGGCATGATTTGTAACATCCTGCTAACTAAGTGTATAGCCTTATCTACAAGGTGAACTGTTACCCAAACTGAATAATTGCAATTATAAAAGATTTATGTCTTCTCTTGTTTATCTATAAGAGTGCCTACTTTTCATCTAAAAGCTATGTGTGTAACAGAGTTCATGCTTCAGTTAAACATGGCTGCACTTTGGTTCATAGTTATACTTTAAAATACTAACTCTAGGCAGTTTTTATAAAGAGTAAACCTTATATAAATTGAATAATATGTTATTCATAAGCTATATGCTATTCTACAATAGTGTGTGCTATTCTAAAAGTATGCTTTAAGTCAGTATATATAATTCCTCTCTATTCCTTCAGCTTATTATATCTCCTTTCCTAAAAGTACCTTAGCTAAGTGCCTCTATATGTCTATTCATTTAACAGAAATAGAAAATTACAACATGTACATTTCTTGTGTACCTCACATGTATACAGTTCGCAATACAAAGTAATGGTTCTTGGGTATGCACTGCCTCTTTTGAGTCAAACAAAATTCATGGTTCTTTCTCAGGGTTGGTTGGAAAATCATCAGATAATTATGGACATAGCTTTTTTGCTTTTTGTGAAATGTATAAAAATGGTGATGAAAAAATAAGTTGAAAAGCACAAAATTCATTTTAACGTCACAAAGACATATAATGAATATAAATGTTAGCTTTTTAAATAGTTTTTTTTTTTTTGCTTCAAACTAAAAATGATTTTTCTCCTGCTAGGGTGACTCCGGGGGTCCACTGATGACATTTGATTCAAGACAAATGTGGTACCTTGTTGGCATAGTGAGCTGGGGGGATGAATGTGGAAAACCAAATAAGCCTGGCGTCTACACACGAGTGACTTACTATCGAGACTGGATTACTAAATATACCGGGCTTTGATGTAAGAAATATAAAAAGCTGCACATATTTGAAGCTGTATAAATGGCATCCAAGTGGTACAAAGGACAATGACTTTGTATAAGAGTGTTTGTATTATCTGATAAGTCATTAATAAAACTAACATTTTAAAAAAAATAATATATTTGGACTGTTAAACCAAAGCACCTATTGTAAAATGTGCATTCCCAGTGAAAAGATTGTAAATTTGCTTTCACATAGATTGAATAATTTTGTTCACTTTCCAACTGTTCTGTTTTCCCGTGCCTTCAAAAAGACATTAGTAAAAGATAGTTTAAGTCTTAAAAAGACAGGATATTATCTTTAACCATTAAGCAGCTACATGTCAACAACAGTCCTTGGTAAGTTTGAAGTGGGCTGCACAAAACATTTATTCATTTCTAGAAAGATGCATATTAAGATTTCTGGGCCTATTTCTGAGAAGCAGAAATGTCTCATTGCTAGGCATACCTAAGACGTCATGATTTTAATATAAAGTAGCATTTCTTTACATTCAGAAATATGTAAGCATTGTTGTAGCTTTTGTTCCTGACCCTCCTTCTTTATTTTATTGTATCAGAAGCATAATGAATTTACTAGCATTTCCATCTATGGCAGGTGTGTCAAACTGCCGGCCCGTGGACCAGACGCATCATCCGGAAGCTGCGGCCATCCCATTGCCGGGAATGACAAAACTGTCCCGATACGCTGTGCAACGTCATGTGACATCACGAGTTTAACATGTCTGATCTATGGGAATAGCAAATGTTAATTTTGATGGTGATAGTACTAGGATACATCCAAAACTCCTGCAATATTTTCTGACATTCTCCCGCAAAACATTCTAGGAAGAGGAGATAGAGAAATTTCTTTATGAAAACACACATAGCAGTCAATCAACACTATGCTTATTTAGCAAATTTGCAGAACTGGCCTTTTCAAAGCTCCACCCTGATAAATATACTATACTTTGATTATAACAATTTATTGAAAATTTTGTCATCTACATTTGCTCTTTCCTCCACCCTGAAATCTTCAAAAATAAAAGTCGAAGAAGCTGATTTCCAATGTTGGCTGACTTCCAAAATCAAGCAGGGTTGGGCCTGGTTTAGTACTTGGATGATAGACCACTATCGAGAATGGCAGGACAGACTGAAAGTTGAAAAAGTTTCTGGAAGAAGAGAGTGGCAGTCACTTCTGCATTGCTGCCAAAAATGTTACATCAATGGAATTGAATTTGACTTAAGTCTGTTTATTATGAAAATATTATTTCTTTCTAAAGAATGATAAAGGAATTTATTACTGCAAATATTCTTGTTTGTATAGTCATTCACTTTTCTACACATTATTCACTCCCAACAATTCAAATTCCTTCTATATACATATTGATTTATAAAGGGAAGGGTTTTAAAAAATTTGCCTGTGAATGAAAATTAATCAGAATATTGCTGGAAGAGAGCTTGGAGGTCTTCTAATTCAATCCCTGCTCAAGCAGGAGACTCTGTACCATTTTGTTTGGGAAGAAATCAAAACTCAAAAAGAGACTTGGAGATCACTGAAAGAAAATTTTATTTAAAAGTGTTTGCAAAGGCTGGTGGACTTCTATTAACTAAATCAAGAAGCCACACACGATCAAAATTGGCAATACCTCCTGTTCCTAATGACACACAACCCTCCTCCATGGACCAGTTGATAGGCCCACTCTGGTCACATTCTTTCCAACCACCTAACCTGACATCAAGTTTTCTGTCTGACAACAAATTTTCCGCCTTTTTAGAAACTAAGGCTATGTGATATTTAACTAAGTTCTCATTAAATAATTTTTATCAAAAGTTGTATTCCCTTCAAATCCACCCCTTCTCTATTTATATTAAAAAATTCTTTATTCATATATGTTTTCATTAATTAATTCAAAGTTTTGGCAATACTCATCTTTACTTTTAGAGGTTATCCAGCTTCAATATTAGAATCTTTTCTCCATTTTTATCTTTCCTTTGAACCAGGGTTACCTGCATTCATTTGGTTGTATATTGTATTATTTTGACCATCACGGGTAGAATACAAGGGAGAATCAATATTGCTCCTATAAACCATAGCAATATTATTTTCCATTTTGACCGTTCTCCCATTAGTTGGGACCACCAAGAAGTATCCATGATTCCTGTCCAAGTCTAAACAGGCACATGACTATTTTTCTTATTTTAGTAGTGATTTCTTCAATTGCTTTCCCTTGATCATCTATTTGTAGGCAATAATTGGTCAGATTAAATTTTCAACACACTCCACCTTCTTGAGCCAATAAGTAATCTAAAACTAAATAATTTTGGTATACTGCTGTCTTAAGCTGAGTATTTTGTTTAGCAAGTAAGTTCAAAGCTACAGCTGTCTCATTAGTAATAATTTCTAATACTGCTTGAAGTCTTAGTATCCTATTTAACATATACATATAAGTTCTATATCCATACATCCCATCTTCAGCCCAAGTGGCTGGCCCATATACCTGTATAATTCTCTCAGGAGGCCATTCGTCGTCATGCCATTGTTTTGGACCTGAGATCTGTACTGATTGTTTTTTCCTGAGTCCAATTTCATCATAAACTGGGCTGAGCAGCATCATTCTTCCAAAATCATTAAAATCAACGGGGCATGCCTTTCTGTTGGATATGGTGCCACTCGGTTTACCGGGGACCATTTGGATATCCCGGACGAACCCCAAATCAAAACTCAAAAAGAGACTTGGAGGTCACTGAAAGAAAATGTTATTTAAAAGCGTTTGCAAAGGCTGGTGGACTTCTATTAACAAAATCAAGAAGCCACACACAATCAAAATTGGCAATGGTTTAAATACCTCCTGGTCCCAATGACATGCCACATCCCTCCTCCATCGACCCAGTTGATAGGTCCACTTTGGTCACATGCTTCCCAACTGCCTAACCTGACAAGTTTTCTGCCTGACAACAAGTTCCTGCCTCTTTAGAAACTAAGACTATGCGATATTTAACTAAGTACTCATTAAAGAATTTTTATCAAAAATTATATTCCCTTCAATTTCAGATAGGTGGTTGTCCAGTCTTTTCTTAAAAACTCCTTGTGACAAAGCACCTACAACTCTGCACCACTAGTCCTTCTTTTTTCTAGACCAGGAGTGTCAAACTGCCGGCCCAAGGGCTGGATGCGTCATGGTGCATTTCCCTTCTTTATATGAATCTTCTACTGTTATATGAGGTAACATTCTTAAACCTGGAAACATCTAACTGGAAGAAGATGAGAATATGAAATATTTACATGAAAATCTTGTCAATAATAGCAATATCCATTACTGTACTGAAGATTATTATTATTGCTGAAGAGCCATGGTGGCGCAGTGGTTAGAATGCAGTAGTACAGACTAGCTCACTGTTCAATCCAGGAGTTTGATGCTGAGTGGCTCAAGGTTGACTTAGGCTTTCATCCTTCTGAGGTTGGTAAGATGAAGAGCCAGATTGTTGAGACAATTTGCTGACTCTGTAAACTGCTTAGAGAGGGCTATAAAGCATTGTGAAGCGATATATAAATCTAAGCGTTATTGCTATTGCCAGTGCTTTTTCCCCCCCCCCAAAAAAAGGTGCTGGAACTCGCACGTCATACAACCCGCCTTGCCTACCCTACAAGGTATCATCCAAAAAAGGTGCCGGAACTCCGTTCTGGACATTCTATGAGAAAAAAGCCCTGGCTATTGCTATTATAAAGCTATCTATCTATTATCATTGTTGTGGTTTTTTCTTTGATTGTTTCTGCACAATCTAGTTCAGATATACATCCCTATCTATGATGTGCTACAAAAGTGAAAAACATTATTTCCTTAGTGCTCTTGGAGAAGTGTTATATTTAAACGCACTGATGAATTTTAAAAAATTGAGAATTCTAGAGTTCATGGCATAGTCAAGTATTATCATAAACTAATGGTGTTTAATTTATTTCGTTTTTACACATTGTAGCCTGGTAATTTAAAATATATAACTTTAGATATCTGAGATGAAAAAAGACTATTAGAACACATATTTCATTTATGTACAGTATCTGTCTCTCTAGTAACTATGAATTACTACTCTTCATCTAAAAGAAGATAATGAGTAGATTTTTTATCAACAAGCCATCCTTCCAATATCTGTATTGGCTTTTGAATTTCATCTGTAGTGCGTTAGTGCATTCACAAATTACGTCTCTGTTAGAGATGAAAGAGAGCCACTGACTGTTTCCAGAATAATTACATTGAACAACAAAGATTTTACTTCCTGAACAGTTTGGAGTATATCTTATGGAATTTTGGCTGCTAATCATGAATACTTATTTATTTATACTTAGCATATAGCATATCACACATGGACCAGCATTGTCAGGTCTGCCATCTTCAGCATACTTTGCTTCACTGGAATCTTGCCATAAAATGCAAGGGAGGGGAGAGGCAATTGGGGAAGAAAATGGGCATGGGAATGCACAGGAAAAGAGGGAGGGTGTGACAGAGTGAAAGGAACCAAAGGTGTCAATCCGGAATAAATTGATTGATCAAGGATGGAACCAGTGGTGGGATTCAGCCAGTGTGCCCCACTTCAGCAGAACCGGTAGCTAATGTTTTGTTGCCCAGGCCCAGAATGAACTTCCGGAAGCAGCATCCAGACAGAGAACCAGTTGTTCACATATCTGAATCCCACCACATAATAAAATTAAAGTAATGGTGCAAAGAGTTGACTGGTTGCCCAGAAAGCAATGTAAAATAGTATTATTAAGTGAACAAGACTACAGTTATAGAGAAATTAGAAGAGAAATTGGTGGAAACTTAACCAAAGATGGCATTTCTACTTTTCCCAAAAGGTTTCCACAATTTTGGCCACTACTGTAGACCCTATGGAGCCCCAGAGTGCATCATTTCAGATCACGTGGTTCAATTCACTTCACCATTTTGTCAGGAGTTCCTAAAATTATTTGGCACTATCCAAGGGCTTAGCTCCTCCCATCATCTCCAGATGTATGGGGTATGTGAATGTATGAATGGCATCTTGGAACAATACCTAAGGTGGTACATTAACTCTTAGCAAGACAACTGGGCTGAACTCCTCCCCTTCACAGAGGTTGCCTACAATAATGCAATAGTAGCACTGGCTTCACCTTGTTTAAAATCACTGCAGGCCAGGACTTTGTACCCATACCCGAATTACCTCAGGCCAAGCCACAAACCACATCATTAGCAGAATGGATTACACAACTTCAAAGCACTTGCTGGTAATCCGCAAAGTGCTGGAAGAGGCAAGAGAAACACATTAAAAACATAATATCTGCAGTCTAGGCATCATAGAAAAAACTAGGTCCCAAATACATCAGACCTTTCCCTATCAGCAAAATCATCAATCTAGTAATGGTTCAATTGGACCTACCCAAAATTCTCAAGTGTGTTCATCCAGTCTTTAACTGTAGCCTATTAAAACCAGCAATCACTTCTCCCCTACACCCTGCAATGAAACCACCAACAACTCCCATTCTAATTGAAGGGGAGCAGCATTTCAAAATTAAAGAAATTTTGGATTCTCACAGACACAGAGGGAAGTCCGATATCCAGGGCTTTTTTTCTCATAGAACGCCCAGAACGGAGTTCTGGCACCTTTTTTGGATGGAA